TGAATTTTTTTAGTAGAGATAACATAACACAAGTAACCTTTATGAATTTTACTATAAGTTAAAAAGACATAAGGAAAGGAAGAGAGAGCTAATTTATGACGATTATATGATCGTAACCACGGATAGCTTAAACAATCAAACACTTTTAATTCATCATAGGAGGGTGTGGAATGAGAAAAAAAGGGTGGAATATAAGGACCGGTGTTGTAAACGAGGTGTGGGTAGTTGATTTATTATGTAAATAGCGGCATTAAAGGAATAAGTCTAGAAGAATAGTGGAACATAGGCATGGTTCGGAAAAGCTAAGCTAATTTCAACTATATGACAGGTGTTTATGCTCAAGCACAACCATTTTATTCTAGTGTTTTGGAGCGAGCTTTTCTTTGAAAAATTCCATTTTCAGTAAGATATTTAGTTAAGGCTTGATATTTTCCCCTTCCCCAAATCAAATTGAAATTGTTTAATTGGCTTATCAAAAAAAATTCCACAACATGGTGAAATTAATGAAATAGCTAAGAATTTTTTATTTATAATGAAGAAAAAATATCGAATAGTACTTACTCGTGAGGATCATAAAAAAAACATAATAAGAATAACCATAGAAAGACCCTAAAGATCATAACAAACTAGTTCTAAAGGTGCCTTGGCTCGATAATTAATTGAGAAAAAGGAAATTTATGAATCTTAACAAAAAAAAAAACAAGCATGACATAAAAATAAAATGGGATGGAAAGGAGCATTAAATTATGTTTCTCGTAAAGCTCGATGAATGATCCTGGATGAAACATGCCTAGGTCGAGCATGCCATATTGCTAAGGAGGTAGAATGAGATTGAATAGAAGAACGGTGGCTAAAAAATTTATTCGGGATAATTTATAGAGACCAATATCAAACAGAGCCTCATGTATTATATCCTATGTAACCAAGTCCTTCACTAAAAATTTTTCAAGGAAAAATTCAAGAGAACATAAATTATCTTTAGTAAAACGACCGACATACAAAAGATTATGATTACTGGAAGGAACATGTAGTATGTTTTTTTTTAACAAGGACACTACGCGGAATTAGCATAAATGAAATGCGGAATGACACAGGAGGGATAAATTGGCCTAACCCAACATATTGGGATGACAAGGAAGCCTAAACTCCCGAAAAATTAAAGGAACATTCCCCGAAAGTTACAAAAAAAAGTCTTACAACAAAATAAAAATAGAATAATGACTAAGGCTAGCCTCCAAGAAAGGTATATTAAACCAAGTTACAACAATATCTATCTCTTGGACCTAGCTAGGCTAAAACAATCCTCTCGAAATGTCATACGAGCTAACATAATAAGTGAAACAACCGAATGATAAAGTTCTTAATCTCTATGTGTATAGGCATGATCCACTAGGCAATTAGCTATGAAGTTACCTTCCCCGTAAACATGCATCAATTTGCAAGAGCCAAGAAGAAGGATGTATTTACGAAGATGGTTAATCAAAGGCCATGGAACTACATGAATTCTAGAAAAAGAATCAACTACTAGTTTGGAATCAAGCTCAACATAATGGATTGGTATATTGTATTCTCGTAAAGTTTCAAACCATCCATAACAGACATAAATTTCGCCCTTGTTATTAAAACTATACCATAGAAGGAAGAAAAAATAAAGACAAAATTGCCAAGCCAATCCCTCACCACACCACAATCGATACACGAGCCACCCCGAGCAAAACCATCACAGTTGAGTTTGAACATATGCGTATATGGAGGAGACCAAGAAATCCATTGTCCTCAAGGAACTAAAGGGCTAGCTAACGGTATATTCAGAGCTAGGATGCTAAGTTAATCATGAAATCAAAGACTGGACCATAGAGTGAACATAGCTCGGAGTTCATAAAGCCATTTCTTCACCTTGAAAATGATCACGTCAACACTCATTGATACGTCATCAAAAAATGATTTGTTTTGAGCTTTTCAAATTTCTTAGAGAGTATAATGAAATACCACTATCCTTAAAAATGATTTTTAATTAGTAAGAACCAAATTACGCATTCAATTACCAACAAAACCTTGCATGTTATTTCTTACAGTTCAATTGTTTAGGATATGGTCAAAATAATTCCAAACTATGGCCGCAATATCACCATGCAAAAATAGGTGTGTAAGAGACTTCACCGAAGGGTTTTTATAACAATGACAACGAAAAGGCATAGCCATACCATATCGCAAGCACATATTATCCATCGCGACTCCATCATTAATTATTTTCCAAGAAAATGTCATTATTTTAATTGAAATCCATCTATTCTAAAAGTACATCCACCATTTAAATTTAGATTTAAGAGTCATCAAATGTTATCAAAAGATATGAGTTCGAAAATCTTTAGTTGTAAAAGGAGTAAAGATCAATCTATTTGGTTTAGTATGTGAGATACGGATAGAACGTATAGATTGTTGTACTGTGGGAGGGAGTGAAGACAATACGAAGGTTTCCTCATCTCCTCCTTCACAGGGATATCTATCAAAGGGCTTAGATCATCAACACACCAACATTCTAGAGAAATAGTCCTCTCACTAACTAGACATTTGGAGTTATCTTAAAGGAAGGAAATGTGAGGCAGAAGGTATCTCTAAACAAGTGTACCCTTCATCATACCTAAGGCTAAGGAACTAAACGGACCATATTTAGAAGTCACAAAATGAGCCCATAAGAAAAAGCTTTGAAGGCAAGCCCACGATAGCTTATCCTTCATGGATAACATTACCTCATACAAGTTCTTAACCCCAAGAACCCCCTTCTGCATAAGGTTTAGAGATCTTTGCCTAGCTAAGCCAATGGCCTTCCTTCACCCTATTGTTCCAGAAAATATAAACAATACAACTCTGATTTGCAACACTATCTTCTTTGGGACTGGCATGACGATCATTATATAAACTGAAAGAGATGAAAGAACAGACTGAATCAACGTGAGCTTACCTCCCATAGAGAGAAGCTTTCCTTTCCAATCTACCAATTTGTTGTTGATCTTTTCATCGAGTAACTAAAAGTAAGATAATTTAGCACATCCCTTGAAAAGAGGAATCTCCAAGTAAAGAATGGAAGGCTTTGAATTGCTCAAAACCAGTCCACCTCTGTAAAAGCTGAATTCGATTCAAAGAGAATTTGTTGTTGCAAAGAAATCCATTTTTGCCCGTGTTAATCAACTAACCACTACATGTATAGTATTTTTTAAGAAGGAACATGAAATTATCCACTAAGGGCTTTGAACCATTTCTGAATAGAAGCATATCATCTGTAAAAAATAGATGATTCATAATTATAGTTGTCCGACCAAAATGGTAACATAGTAGTCGACCTAAAGCAACTTTAGAGTTTAAATTCTTGCTTAAAACATCTTGAGCAATTATGAAAAAAGCCGATGAGAGAGGATCTGCTTGGCGAACACTTCTTTCTGACTTGAAAAATCCAAATGAACTGTCATTTAGCACTACAGAATACCAATAGTTATTTAGGCAGCAATAAACATATAGTATGTGATCAAGACAAAAAAGATGATTATTAAATTGAAAACTGAAGGAACCAAGATGAGAAAAAGAAATGTGTTTACCATCAATCAATTGCACCTCCTTCGTACTATTATATTCATTATGAATGAAAAGGTTGTCTAATTGCCTCATCATATGATGAGTCGCTCCAGTATCCATAATCCATTATTGGTGAACAAGAGTGGGTAAAGAGTAGGCAAGTCAGGAGGAAGGTTTAGAAGGACGGTTGGAGTTGCAGAACTTAGGAGAAGGACATACATTTGCAAGATGTCCATTACCATGACAACTGAAACAAACAGTGGTCTGAGGATTTGACAATATAGGATTGGAAGATCTTTATCGAAAGGTAAAATTGGTAGGACGTCCACGACCACAACCATAACCATGCCTATGATGAGGAACCTGATGATTGGCATAGTTAACAGAAATGGGGTTATCAGCAAGTGGAATACTATTTTACAACTGCAGTTCTTCACTAAGAGAAAGACCATAAAGAGCCTTGTAAATAAATGGTTCATGGCATAATTCAATCGAGTGCGCAAATGGCCAAAAAGGGGTAGATCTACCAAGTCATCTTCAACTACAGCAGAACCAAAAGAATGGAGAGTGTCATAAAGACTTTTTCCATATTGAAATAATTAAGGAACAGATTCATTCGGTCGTCGATCAAGTCGATAAAGACTATTTTTGAGATGATTAACCTGGGTTCTTGTATTGGAATCATAGGCAAGCTTTAACCAAACTGCACGAGCAATTATAACACCAACCATAAGAGGGAGAACAACTTCTGTAAAGGAACCAACAATCCAAGCAAGCACCAACTAATCATTCCTGTCCCAAAGTTCAAAGGCAAGATTCGTTTTAGTGTCATTAATAAGAGTAATGGGTGGAGGTTGGGATCCTGCAATATGGTTCAAGAGATTATAACAACGAAGAAGTGGTTGGAATTGTGTTTGCCAAAGAATGAAGTTGGCTGGAGTAAGTTTGGGGAAAAAAATGATTATTAAGGCTAGGAAGTGAAGGAGAACTCACACTTAAAGAAACAGTGACCAAGGTTGAGTCTGCAAATGCAACAAACATGATAAAGGTAGGAAAAAAATAATACTTAAAGAGATGATGGACTGTTATGTCACTATTGGCTCTGATACCATAAATATGTATTGATTCTCTCTTAATCATCAATGTGTGTTACCATATATATATATATATATATATATATATATAAGCTAAAGTATGATAATCACTTGGTTAGTTACAAATGAAAGGCTACTGGATAGCTAAGGATAAAATGATATGATACAAGAGAAATAAAAGGGATAGGAGAACTGATACTCTTATCCTTATCACAGGTTTCTCAAGTGTTAAAAATATATATATATATATATATAAATAAATAAACATGTAATCATTGATTTTGACAGAAGAGAACAATTTTGTTAACTAGAAATTATCTTTATACTTGTAGGGACATGCTTCAGATGAGGCTAGGTCCCAGCCTACCAGCGCTTGAGGAAATCCCTGAGGGATGTAGGAATGAATTGGTGGGGTGGAACTTACAGCCTAAACGAGTGGCTGAGCTGTTGATGGAGTTGTTGTCTGAAGGGTTGGATGGTAAGCCTGCCCCAGCGGCTCTTGAGATCAACATTGGCGATATGCTTCAGGTAAATATCCATTATAATTGGCCTTTCGAATATTCTCATTTTTTAATGACCTTAGAACTTTAAGCTGGCGCCTTTCAGATTGATCCTTTGCCAATGCTCTCAGATGAAATTCATTAACTTTACTGTTGAGCTCGTCTATTTCTTCACTTATCTGTGTTTTCCAGATCATGTCCAATGATCAATACAGAAGAGGAGACCGTGAAGCGTTGGCAAATCCTCTCCTTGGACCAAGAGTTTCTATTGCAAATTTGTTCACAAAAGAGTTGGATGGCAAATCTTTGAAGAATTTCTATAAGCTATGAACGAACAAATGTTACCATGCAATATATTTGAACTTAAATGCCTTTTTTATATTACAATCATTGAAGGTTCGATGAAAGAAAACAATTTTCAGCAAAGATATTTGGCATCAAGCAGTTCCTCTTACGATTTTGCCAACGACCTATTTTCTGCGCTTTGACAACTCCATCTCATCTACAACTGGGATTTGTCAAGTTTGTGAAACCCCGATGGAAATTTTACCATCAACCTCTGTGTTATCTTTCGCATCCACATCCAGTGACTTCTGATCAACACTGCATTTCTCAATCAAGAATTTCCTCAGGTTCAGATCCAGAACATCTTGTTTCCTTTTTCCCTCCATGTCCAAACCATTCAGCCAAATCTTCATCATCAGTAGATTCAAGGTACTTGAATCTTCTTTGAGTGTTGGCATCTTCAACTTCATTTTCATCTCCTTCCGCATGCAACACACCTTTTCTTCTTTTCAACATTTCTAGCTTCCATCTTTCTCTTTTTTGGGCATTTTGAGACAAACTACTCTTTCCTCCTGCAATCGGGAAATCTACAAATCTCACAACCTCATTCGATGAGATCAAATGATTATCTGCTCTTTCTTCCTCCACAAATCTCCACGTTTCAGCACCTCTGTTGTGATTTGTTCCATATGCTCCTACAGGTTTGTGATCAGTGGCTTCATTTCCACTGTGAAGAAACTTCGATCTGCTCTGCTTGGAATGATCTCCCTTGTAATGCTCAATCTCAGAAGATATCTTTGAAGAATTCATTGCCTTTGGCCTTCTATAATCACATTTCAAGCATACCATGTTTCTTCTGAAATTGATGTAGTTGCACCTGCAAAGTAACAGATATACATAAATTGATTGTATGCTTGTCATTCAACAACAGAGAAGAACTACATTAATTATGCGTATCAAGAAATCTAGAAAAATTGCATGCGGAAATAACTAACGATTCACATTCCCACTCCCCAGGATTCAGCTGCCGCTTTGGAGGCTTCTCTTTGCATTGGAGACATCTTGTATTCTTGGCAAAGTTCAAGAAATTACATCTGTAAGAGTAGAAGTCAATGAAAAACAGAGCCTCATGTAATATAATATCAATAAATCTTTATCTAAGAATCCTTACATTGCACAAATCCAGTCTCCTTTCTTTAAGGGAAGATGATCCTGATCCTCCTGTAGATGCTTGAGCCTTTCTTGGAATAAGCCATCACAACGCAAACATCGAACATTTCTGGCGAAATTGTGGAAATTGCATCTAACAAACAATATGTAGAAGGAAGATTAGCCACATCAAGACAAAAAATCATAGATGCCTCAAAATTCTAACTTCCAAAACATCAAATCTCAAATTACTTTGGTCAAAAAACAAAAATTACTTGGGGCAAAGCCAATCGCCCTGCTTCATTGGAACATTTATTGGGCCTTTTTCTTGCGTACTCAAATCATTTTGTAAAGGGATACCCCTTTCCAAGGGTTTGCGATTAGGGAGATCAGAGTCAAGTTCGTCATTGCTATGCCCCACCAACTCTTTCAGCAGCCTTCTCACTGATTCTTTAACCATTTTGTTGTTTTGACATGGCTTATTCTCCACCGTACCAGCAACAAAATCAAGCCCATAAGTCAGTAAAATACGCATGACATCCACAGTCCGCCCACCTTCATCTTCTCGTGTTTTGACATATGCCCTCTCACAGTCTCCCCTTAAGTTGCAGGAGCTGCAAACCTACAGAGATTACCAATTTACAGGGTATCCCTTACTGATTAGTCGAGAAAATTTGCCCAAGAAACATTGAAAAATAAAAAAAGAAAAAGAAAAGATTTATTTTACTGTATGATTTTTTTTGGGAGAAAAAGCTCAGTACATACATGTCCTTCATTGATGCCTACATGTGCTCTTAAACGTTTCCCAGAGTTGACAACTTTTCTATCTATGCTAGGGCAGCCGCATCCTGCAATAACCCCAATATCTTTCCTTGAGAAGTACCTGGCAGCAAAAGTAAGATGAGAAACGGAGGCTATTTCTCTCACATTAACCAAATATCAAACAGGTGGCATGCACACCTAGAAATAATGATTACGGAACAGTATAATCAAATTGCTCAAAACCAAAACCAAAGCCAAACCTGAAACTAATCTAAATCACGAAAAAAAAAAAAAAAGTTGGAGGCAAAATCATTCTCGTATCAATCAAACTCACACCCAAAAATCAATCCATGATACCTTATCAGCCCAAACCGATCGCGTGCAAAATTAAGGCACGCAGTTCTAATACAATTCACATCCTTGGAACCCAATTCCTCGTTCTTAAATGGGTTTCCACCAGGTTCAAAGTACCCTTTCTTTAACAACAATTCCATTAAATCCACCCATTCAGGCCAAGGATGGGATATCTGAACCGTTGATTCCATTCGTTCGCTGGATTGGCTGCGATCGGAATGTTCATTAGTTTTTGATAAAAGTTGGGTTTTTTGGTTTGTGGATTTCGAAGGGTGGAGGACTTCTACCTCATTGAAAATGATGTCTATCTTTGAATTAGGATCTTGGGTTTTGGAGAAACCGTGTAAATGTGAAATCGGTAGAAGAAATTTAGGGTTTTTATCACAGCTTTTAATGGAAAAATAGAGAAATTCATGGCGAAATTGAAAGAGCTTATGCATTATATAAGGATTGGGGGGGGGGGGGGTGTGTGTGTGGGTGGCGGGGGCGGCGTTCTTTGGGGCGGGAAAATTAGCAGTTGACTGTTATTTTAAGTTTCCTCTTACAGATTTTAGAACACTGGTTTTTTGAACCAAAATAGAGGAGGCAGTGGTGCTTTCAAACAAAGTGGAGGTGTTTGGAAACGACAATATGTTGCCCCTAACCCTGGTAGTGGGTGATGGAATGTGGATAGCATCATTTTTTTTTTTAATCATAAAAACTTCTGATTATTTTTTGGTAGGAGTGAATTATAAATTAATTCCTTTAGTTTTAAAAAATAAATTAAATAATTTTTTATTTACAAACTAATTAATTACTTCATTGACCCATGTTAACTATTTTTAATTTAATATTATTTTATCCTAAAAAGTGTTTCTTTTTTCATCAATTTTTCTTCTTCATATTTTGTAATTTATTTTATTTTTATTTTTATTAAAAAATTAAAAAAAATATAAGTGGTTAAGTTACAAATAGATATAAAAATAAAATAGATAATTAATTAGTTGTTAAGACTAGAAGGATTATTTAATTTCTTTTAAAAAATTAAAAGGATTATTTTCACGTACAAATAGATATTAAAAAAATTTAAAAGGATTATTTTTTATATTTTAAAATTAACATATATTTCAAATTGTATTATTCTTATTATTTAAAATTTATTTTTTGAATTTGTCATTTCTAATAAAAATAATCATCCAATTACTTTTTTATAAAAATTTTATTTACTCATCGAGTATAATTTATTTTTCTCTTTATTTGAAATTTAAAATAAATTTAAAACATGATTTTTTTTCTTTTCTTAAAAATAAAATGATATAATAAATATTATGAATTCTTATAATTTGTAAATGATAGTTTTATATATATATATATACTTATTTTAATCTAAAAGGTTAAAAATATATTTCAGATATTTTATTTCAGTCAACTAAGTATGATCAAGATGTATAAAAAAACATTATTAAATTATTTATTTTATTAAAAACTAACTATACATCTTCACACATAACATCAACTATTTGCAATAGATATTTTTTTTAACATCATAGAATCAATTTCTTTGAAATAAAATAATTAAAATATTTTTTAAAAGAACCATCCAATAATTCAAATACGGTGTTTTATGCTAACATTATATATCAAATGCATATGCTTTTTTAAAAATAAGCTTCTCATCATCATTAGATAAGAGTAAAAAATTTATTTTTTATTAGTTTTTTTTTTTTTAATACAAGTCTATACATTAATCATAATTTTAATTTTTTTAATACATTCATATGAAATATATATTTTTAAATTATTTTTTAATTCTTAATTAATATTTTAATTTAAATTATTATAAATTTTTATTTAATAATCAATGCATAAAGAAGAATAAATCATATTTTAAATATAAAATTTATGAAAAAAATTAATTAAAAATTATAAAATTTTGAAATGGTTTTGTTTTACCCAATCCGCAGTGTATGACAAATAGCTAGCTAGTTTCAATCTATATAAATATCACTTAATCGATAAAAACAAAAAAAAAACAAAAAGAAGCCTTCATGTTTGTATGTAGTCACATTTTGGAAATTGCACTTTATTCATCACTATAGTGCCATTTATTGTATATTTTATAAGATCATTTTTTTTTTAATCAAACAGATTTTGTTCTATTAAGCTGTTCAAGTTTGGCATACACATTAAACATGACATGATAAATAATGCAGTGTTTGGTGCATACGTTAGACAAGACGAGGTCCAAAACTATCTCTAAGAAAAGTTATATATTGTCCTATTATGGAGAGGAACCAAGTTTTCCAATACTATAGACAAAAATCAATTTTTCTTAATTTTTCATATTATTGCTATCTATTTATCTCTTATTTATTTTTTAATTTAGTTGACAAAAATTTGACCAGAAAATTTTACATGCATGAGTTTAATTGAAATTTTTTTATTTACTTAGGGACTAGATTGCATATACAAAAAATTAAGAGACATTTTTTAAATAAGGACTAAAATGTCATGAAAATAAAATATCAAAACTAATAAATAGTTAAAAAAATTTCAAAGACCCAAATAAACTTTTAAAAACTTCATCCACTATTGTCCTATCCAGTATACCGAACACATGATGTGAACATGTATTTGCCTAGTCCACTCCACTCCCCTCTAATATCATCAATTCTCTAGCATAGTTTTATCTAGTCGTGTTCTGTCCAGTATACCAAATGCACCCTTAATTTTTCTTCTTCAAATCCAACATTTAATAATCGTTCACCAACAATTTTTAGGAGTTGCGATTCGCGAACCTGGACACTTATCCTTATTCCCTTCAGACTTATAAACTAAATTTGTCCATCAGCCATGACCAACCTATTCTAATTCCAAATACAGCATGGATGAATTGAGAACTTGTGTAAAAAGAACAAAACACAAAAAAAATGTTGAATAAAATGTCCCATATGGAAAGAAAATAAAGAACAGGTAGCAGCAAGATACAAGTAAAATGTCACGATACTAAGATGATTAAACATTAAGTTCGGCGTGGATTAGCCTAATACTGATGGAGCGTTTGGTACGTAAATTCTTAGATATCTTTTTGGAATGTGACCGTTGACAATATGATTATCGAGAACATGATAATTGTGCTTGGTTGAAAATAAAATATCTTAATAATATGGTTTTATTGTGTTTGGTTTCTGCAGGGAATTCATGAAGAATTTAAACAAATTTACTATTTTACCTGTAAGACTTAAAGTCTATGAAATGCAATGATAAATTTAAATTTATAAAATTAAAATTACGAACTCAAATAATAATATAATAATATCCCAATAAATTACATAACATAATATTATATAAATAATTTTGTTACTGTAATAAAGTTATTAAAATACATATTAGTTGTTCAAATAAGTTAGAAGCCTACAATAATTGTATTATTATTAGTAAAAACAAGGATTTGTTGATCCATTAGGTGTCATTTGATTACAAAAAATGAAAGATCCAAAATAGAAATGTAGGAATCAAAATAAAAATTAGAGAATCATAATGAGTAATAAGGAATTAGAATGAAATTAAAATTTTTTAATATCTAGTTTTTAATATGATTAAAAATAATGATTAAAAAAATAATTTTATCAACTATGATGATAGAAATGTAGGAATCAAAATAAAAATTAGAGAATCATAATGAGTAATAAGGAATCAAAATGAAATTAAAATTTTTTAATATCTAGATTTTAATATGATTAAAAATAATGATTAAAAAATAATTTTATCGCCTATGATAATAGTAAAAATAATAGAGATGATTGTGATAATACTAGTGGAGTACGTAGGAGGGAATGAGGATGAGATGGTAGTAATAACAATATACTATTAACAAAAAAATATTTTTAAAAAATTAACATCATCACCATAGTTGGATTAGAAGAAAAGTGATGGTGGTATAACAAAAGTGATAGCAGTGGTGACGAAATAATAATAATGATTTTTTTTTATCATTACCTTTAATGGTGGTGGTATAATAAAAATGGTGGTGGTGGTTAAGGAAGAATGATTTATAATAATAATAATAATAATGGTCTTTTTTAATTTTTTTTTTTTTATCACTAATGCTAATGAAAATAGTGATCATGGTAGACGGAATAATAACAGTAATATTTTTTATTACTACTTGTCAATAAAGGTGATAGTAGTAGAAATAATTGATACATATAAATTAAAGTAATATATCATTATTTTGAAAAAAATTGATTCTCATTTCTTATTTTTATTCCCATTTTTTATATGAGAATGAAACCATTCTTAATTTTTACTCTTCATTTCTTTTAAAAAAATAATTATAAGATGGAAATAAAATTTTCATTTTCAGATGTCTTGGCCAGGGAATTTAAGATTCTCCAATACCAAACGCCTCCTAAAAAAAAATAGTGAGAGTAGTCGCTCCAAAAATAGAAAGTCTAGGAAGTTATAAAGAAAACCCTAGTCTAAAGCCGAAGATTTCTAACATGATAGAGCTCATGAATTTAACTTCAATGATTGATAATGGAGCCCAAAGAGATATTCAGCCCAAGAGAAGGAAAGAAAAAATTGGAATTTCAAGTCCTAATGGAACTCAACAAGAGAATTGAGACCTTACGTATGTATAAAGTAAAATAAAAAGCGAAAGAAATATCTTAATGCCCAAGAGAAGAAAAAGGAATTAGAAGTGCAAGTTATGATCAAGTCCAATAAGAAAATTATGATACTTTGTACCAAGAGAAAGAAAAAGAAAAAGCCTAAAAAGGTTAAAAATGTTAGAAAGAAATGGATCGTTGCATAAGAAATGATGAATTACAAGAAGGACCATTCATGGAAAAAAAGAAAAAAATCTTGGTGAACAAATAAAGTTAGAGCCGAAAAGAGCATAAAGTTATGTGTGCTATGTATCCACATAACAATCCTAGAAAAAAAGGAATGACGGTTAACGTTTGCAGTGGATTGTGAATGTCGTACATGCAGAAGAAAGAAGTGGAAATAGAAAAGTATAAAATCAGTGAAGGGTCATAATCCCATCCATATCATTTTTATACGGATCCACTCGATATACGATGAAAGGGAACACTCACGAACAAAGAAGCCCAACAAAAGTTAAAAGCGTATAAAGTTGAACACGACCCAGCCCAAGGGTAAAGAATTCTAACGTAAACTAAAAAACTGCGAGCTACCATATCTCCTCACGTCGCTGCATACTAAGATTTCTTGGATCTTGCACGCTCGGATTCGTTTTTAGTTTTTACCTACTGCATTGTACATGCCCCTAAGATGGAAACATTTGAGATCGAGAAACCGTATACTAGGGTGCTAGCGACGATTAAGTTGAAAGGAAAGTTTGGTCTGAGTATAGCAGCTCAGCTATGACTTTCAGGGAGGATTTGAGGTTGGAAATACTTCGAAGATTGTTTGTTCTGACTGATTCTAGACAGAACGTCGAGGCCAGGAATGCCCTGCTAAAATATTAATTTGTTTGCAAGTGTTTCTATTATTGACAAAGCCAGGAAATTGCATGTTACTTTGCTGTACTGTCTTAACTTTTGTAGTCAAATAATCTAGCAACAAAGTAGCTGATTTTCCTGCTATGGCTGCCAGATCCAAAAGTTACAAACAGGCAGATGCTCGGTTTGGTCGATCATTTTCCGGAATGAATTTCGATATCCTTTTTTTGAAATTGATCATCTGCCATTGGACTAACTAACATGATGTCAGTTGAATTAAGAAACAATTATGTAGGAGAATTACCGTATGTGGGTCAGGTCATGGGAAGAGGGGAGAAACTTGATCGCATTTCCGCTGATCTAGGCAAGTGGGAGCACGGGGTGTATAGCATACCGGCGGGTCCAATTTGAATTTGTATATAGTAATGTAAAGGCATCAAGTAACCATAAGAGGCTACACCGCATTGAGTACTCCGATAAATTTTATAATATTTAAATAATTAAAGATATATATAATAATTATTTTATAAATTTATTTAAAAATAAAAAAATAAAAAAATTAATAAACGTAAAATTTTTTTGTATCATTTTTAATGAATCTCTATGTAATTTTCTTATTTTTTATATATTTATTTTTCTTTTTAAAAATAAATTCAAAGAATAACTACTATAAATATGTGATTAGCTGTCTCTTCTCGTGTAATTCTTCAAATTTTCTGCCTTAGGCAACCTCGTTTCCTTAGCAATGACAATGCCGCAAATTGCGCTTTTCTGTGCAGAAATTAAGACTGAGTGCTGACCTACCTTTTGTTCAGTGTGGAGATTGACAAAGCATAAATAATGGGGGAGGAACGGAGCTGAGTCTGCATATATGTTTTTCCCACCAAAATTCAGTCAGATGTCAAATCCAAGAAATTAGCTACGCTAGGTATTGTAAATTAGCAATCAACTTGCTAGGAATCTTGGATATGTGAAAGGGAAGCCATCATCTATATACTTTTGTCCCCGGCTCTGATCATTGAAGTTGAAGGAGGTCAAATCATTTCCTTGAGCCAAAAAGAAGGCAGCTCTTCACAATATTAGTAAAAATTTAACTTGGTTGTTTTGACTCTTCACTTGCATGCACCGACTAGCACAAGGCTCTCAAAAACTTCACTTCATACATGAGCAGTTCCAAAATTAATTTAAAGAATTTTAATATGATCGAGTCCGCGACCCTCCACGTACGTACGTCCACTAGAGCAAGTAATGCCCAGCACTCTTCAGCCGCGGATTTAATTCACTGAAATCCATTCCACATGTAAGTGTTTTGGTGGGTGGGGAGTTTAAATGGATAGATATAATAATGACATCTAAGATAAAGAACACGGATGACTGACTTGTACACCAACCTTCCATTGTAGATAATGTGTCAATGGTGGCAGAATCAATTATTAGAGATTAGTATAAAATTAATCATTTTGAATTTTGAATCTCATCTCGTCTCATCTGTAACTTAAATTTTATTTATATCAATATTATAAACAAAAATACCAAATTAACTTCATTGTAATTATGCGTAATGAACTGATGCTGATGGCAGAACCAATTAATATATGAACACAAATACCGACTAGCAAAGTGATCATATCTATGTGAACAAATGTGTGGTGTAATTGGAGGTTTAATATCGTAATGGCAAACAAATGGCATATATGTTTTGCCACTACGCGCTTCTTGTCCTCCAGTTAAACTTCGACAGCTGAAACATATGGAATCACCTTTACATGGCTCAGGATCAGGTGCATACCATTTTTTTATTTTTTATTTTATTTTTCCCCCACAATTCAACAGCGCACTAGCGGAATTAAGTGTAGAGTTAAGGGGTGCGATGTGAAGCCGAAGTCTTGAGAAAATTTACATTTTAGTCCTAAAATATGAAATTATTTTAATTATACTCTTAAAATTAATTAAACTTATTTCTTAGAAAATACATAATTTGCACCGCTAAATTATGTACAATCTTTATAGAATTTCATTTGTTGTTTTATTTTCAAGGTTATCCTAAAATGTATCATATTAGCAATTAAGTTCTAGCTCCACTCATAATACCCGTAAAATGGCTGGCTCGTTGGGACAATTGAGGGATAAAGAAGAAAGGGTGTTGAGAGGAGAAATGATTATATTCGTTGTCTTCATAATTAATTAACAAGAAGCTTCGTTCATCTTGATTCCAAGCCGAAAAAACTAAAAAAACCCTTTTTGGGTGCTCATTACAGGTGGAGTCCATGACAAACATCAACAATATCGATCAGTCAAGCCAGTGGTTTTTGATCAGGAGGAGTTTTATTAGGGAACATAAATAAAGTTCAAGAAACGTCACCTACATACTACGGTAAAAAGACTGTCTATCTCAAGTAGTTCGGATAAGGCTTAATTTGTTGACTCGAAGGATTTGTGTGACATGACCGCCTATTATTACTTCTTTATAGCAGACAAATTAAAAGACGGCAGGAAGTATGAACACGTGCGTAATACTTAAATGTATAGCTGAATATTACATGGATATTAAAGGATTTAATCTCTCACTAAAAATTAATTTGTCGAGCTGCGTTTGATTTAATTATTATAAGAGCCTCCAATAAAGAACAATGGCAGTCCTATTTGCTAGTTCTTGATCCGTCTTCCGAATGCTTCCATGAAGACTGCATGCTTCCATGGTGCATTGAGACTTGGGATTATGTTATGTACAAATTAATCTAATCTTTGCTATCTTAGGGATCAGCATGACAGCACATGTTCTTCCTTTTGATCTTGTAGCGATGTATGCCTCTCAACTAATATGTCCAAGGCTTCCTTCATCCACCAATGTCTACAAACTTCTCTAGCTTCATCCACAGCCATCTGTTAACGTATAATGAAGTTATTAGAACTAATTAATATTGTGGCAAATGATTTAACATGTTACAACAGAAGCAATTAAAGCAACATACCCAAATTCTTTGCCTGACATTCTTCTCCGGCCAAAGATCAAGTTGCTTTGTCACAAACAAAGGGAACATATATCCTTCATAAAATGTGCCATGTCTTTTGCTTAAAAAGTCCCATTTGCCTAGTCCATCCTGCCATGTAAATGCATCCATCCATGTTAAAAAAAAAAAAAAAAAAAAAAAAAAAAAAAAAAAAAAAAAAACTCAATTAAAAAAATCAAGCCAATAGTTAATGTTTAAAAAAAAAAAAGGAGACAAAAAATGCTAATTTACAATTGGCTTAATATATAAAGACACCGACCTCAACATTCCCAAGAACCCCGGCTTCTTCAAGCGATTCCCTGGAAGCTGCTTCTTCCACGGATTCATCGAGCTCCCAACCACCCTGATAAGCCGATAGGTAACATGTATGTTAATGCGTGATCAATGATGAAATTTTAGGCTCTTGATATATATATATATATATATATATATATATAGGGCAAAAATGCGAGGCCATTTTTTAATTTTTTGCTTACCTTAGGGAACATCATTCCTCGGGCTTGACCCTTCTGTGAAGTGATGACTAGGACCTCCAATTCATCACCAATGGAACCATCCCTGCAATTTTTGAATCTATATGGAATGCATCTGCAATTTCAAACATTCCAAAAATTAATAAGAATGAGTTCTAATTAATGAATATAAGCAAATCATGATTAATTTATTTGAATCAAGAAATCAAAAGGAAACAAAAACAACGTATAACGTCCATGAAGGACAATTATACATAAAAGGGGGCCACGCCTAAGAAAAGGGGCAAAGAAAAAAAACTAATAAATTTCCAACTGTCTTGCAATCAAACAAATAAGAGAAAGGCCGCCATAATCAAGAAGGAAAACTCATGGGGACCACGCATTTACGCAATCTGAATACTAAATAGTCCAGAAAAAAAAATCAGAAAAGAAATTTAAGACTCACCCAACGACTTGGCGGCGGCCCATGTTGTCATATCTCTGCAACTCCCTCCCGGATCGAGCTACCAAACACGCCATATTTTCCAGAGATTTGTATTAAAAGGAAAGGTGGGTTTAAATAATTCTTCAGTTAAAACAATCAACGGTCAAGGATCGACTAATCCTCAATTAGTTTTAATTTCCAGGAAATTCTACCCTATTAAAAGAAAGAAAGATAAGGTCTATATATCCTTAATTAGATATAGCGTAGAGGTGGAACAGATCGAAAGAAGTAGCACAGGAATGAGGATGGAAGCCTTGCTTGCTGGTTTGGCAGGCTGGAACAGCGAAGCAAAAGCTTTATATAGAAAATTAACAAGAATGGTTTGCTTTGGTCCCTATAAAATATTTCAAGTACAAGAGAGAGGGACTTCTATCTAACAAATTGCTATATAGAGTATCTGGAACTGCTATATATAGAGATGGATAGATGTGTAGGAATTTATATGTTTTTGAGGTTAAGGAAACATTAATAGGGTTGGGTCGTAACCAAGATGGGTAAAACGTACGCGTCGGCATCCGTGTGTGCGTACGTGTCCTTTCTGTGTCGTTTCGCAGCTAACAATTTTATTATTTTATTCTATTCTATTCTATTCTTTATGGAATGGTATTGTATGGTATAAAGAGTAGAAGGAATACTAATTTTATTGGGTTAGTCCACACGGTTCAAAACATAAGTTGACCTGAGAGAACACAGTCACGTGTGTGAGTGTGGCTATTACAGTTAGGCTTGGCTGGATAGAGATGAAGTCGCCCCAATTACTACATGTATTCCATCATCATTTTAATGAAAGATTACATATTCGTTGACTTCACCCTCTCTATCAGACTGGTCTACTTATTGCTACTAACCTCTCCTAGCAGAATACTTGTTTTCTTCTTTTAATGGTGTTTCCTCTCTTTTTCACTTGTTAGTTTTCTTTTTTCCCTTTGCTTCTTCCCTGTGCCTTGAAAATTTGTGACTTGATCGATAGATTTGGATTGAGGCTTAAGCATAACCCTTTTTTTTTTTTTTTCACTTCCTGAATCACGCAGAAGTTGCTGGCGATCCTGATCATATAGCACAATTCTTGATGAGATTGTAGATCCTTAGTCGAATGAATAGATTAATGACTTTTTTTTTCCTTGGCTCATCATGTAGTGATGGTGTGTCTTTATGGTGTGATATTAATATTAATACTTGTAAAATAAATTCCTTCTCTTGGATTTTAGAGAATTTTCCAATAATTAATTTAGAGTATAGAGAGAGGCGAATATAACCTTATTAGGTTTAATTGTGTATATTTTAATGTATGTTGCCTGAATAGGTTAGTGTTGAGTATTTGATTTATGAGATGACGAAGGTATATCGTTATTATTTTTGCAATCTCTTGACTTAGTTATGATTTTGACCATTGTTCTCTTTGCCATTTTGAGTGTTCTTAGATTGCTTGCGTTTCTTCACCTTAGTTCTCCTTTCTTCTCTTAGGTGTCTAGAGTTTTTCTTTAGAGTGGTTGCTAGCTTTTAGGGAAATTGAAAGTGAATTCGTCCTTCTCATAAGAATAGAATAGTATGATCCTTATTGTGTAATTAACATCTACTAATAAGTATGGTGATAATTTTAGGAGAATGTCTTTTTTTTTACGTAAAATGAATTCTTCAGAAGTAGAGCTATGTCTTTGAATTTAATGGTTGTCATTTATGCTTATTTCTAAGAGAGTGATGATCGAGACGTAAAGGCTTTGGCAATGTGGGGACAGGCGAATCCCATTGGTGGAAGTCTTTTGCTATATCGGATCTCATGTAGCCTTGCCGGTGGTAGATGTAATGTTTCTGACTAAATGAAGAACAGGTGTCGAGCGTATTTTTTGGATATACCAATCCTTGTAAAAGGGAAAAAAATAATTTAAGCTGATGACAATTTTGAATATATATAAAATAATTTAAGCTGATGACAATTTTGAATATATATATATATATAATGTAATAAGTTAGATCTGGGATCAGTAGCGTTTTGCATGTGGTTTGAGTGCAACATATACACAGACATAGATGCAGATGCACTGCATAATTGGTCGGTAACCAAATCATATACTAATTTATTCGTTTTCTATTTTTGCTTATTTAAGGAAATTCATTAATTAGTTAATACTTGAGATGGCCTTGTTTTTCTTCTGAAAAACAGCTGATCGAGCATTGAAAATTCTTATTTGGTGGTTTAATATTCTTTTAACAGGCAATCCCATAGAGCTGATTTCATCATTTTTTTATTATTAATAAATCGAAATTCATCAATAAATTATTAAAACACTGTAAGAGGACGAGAAAAAATAATGATGAGAAGCTCACTAATTCAATACACGAAATTGTGCACAGAGAAGATTCCACAAACACAAAAACATCATGCTCTGATAACGTTAATTAGATTTTAAAAGGTATTCACATTCTATAATACGTCCATGTTTGTTCATTTAGATTATTTCTTAGCAGGAGCTAGCCATTGGCCAATACAACAAGAAAGCCTAAACTGATGTTTTTTTTTCTTTTTTTCGTTAACAACATACGTAATGTATATCAAGGTTCATGGTATATATGACGCCCCTGGAGAAATTAAATGAAGGCTAGCTAGAAGAAAACACGGAGACGGCTCTAAGCTGAATATTAATTTGATATCAAGATTTGGGAGCATATGTATAAATAAACAGCTCAATGTTGAAATGATGACTGGTTATTATAATTACCACATTGAGGATATAAATATGGAAAAACTAGTACTCTCTCTAAATATATTAATTGTTGACCAGATAATTAAAATGCAACCAAGAATTTCATGTTTGTTGTTTTTCTTTTCATCTTTTGCAGTTTCTTAAATGGTTGACAAATAAACAAATAACAAATGGATCTTAATTATGTACTATTTTTCATTGTAGTTGTTTCTTTTTGCAATTTCCAGGTTATCTCTTCCACCAAATGGTCATAAAGAGTGAACACCCTTTTCTCACTTGACATCTCCGAGGGCCTGTATAGAATTTGTTGATCATATTTGAATTTGACCACAAAGCATCTAAACCAGGAAAAAATGATTGTGGCCCCAAATAAACACGTGTTTTTTCTTCCTTATTTTTCTGCTGCTGCTACTATTAATTTCTTTTCCGTTGCCCTTCCTGTAGCCAAATTCTTGATGATTCGAACTCCCCTCCAAAATATATTAATTAATCCTTTCCAGACCTGCACTTTATTTAGGTGTTAAAATATTTAATTAGGTATTAATTTAATTAATTTGATGTTAATTATGTTATTTAGGTGTTAAAATAAGTTAATTAGGTGTCAATTAAATTAATTAATTGTTATAAAAATTAATTATGTTATAAAAAAATGATAACAATAGTATAATTTAAGAGAAAGATGATAGGAAAATAAACTACTATACAATATACTAAATACAAAAGATAACAATTCCAAATAATCTCTCAATCTCTACAAAATACTTGTACACAAACTAATAAACAATCATGTCTATTTATAGGCTTTAAAATTAGGATGAGAATTGAAAAGGATTATGAACCATTAAAAGATGTATAAATAATTAAATAAATTACATCATCCTTTTAATTTATCATATTGAATGGTGAATTGAATCACATAAGTAGTGAGAATATGAAATGATCATGGATATTCATTATTAAATTCCCCTTGAAATGCCACACATCCCACTCGGAAGCATAACAAGCGCAATTGATTAGCTGTATATAAGGTAAAACCAAAGGTGGTTGTGCATATTCTAGATCACTTGTTATGGTCCAAAAAAAAATATGGAATCGTTTTAAGAGAACAATATAGAAGCCCAATACAATGTCATTTAAGTTGATGAGGGTCGGTCATTGATTGATCCAACTAGATCGTTATTAGATTTAGAAGGAGACAAAATTAATGAAGAGGATGATATCGAATTTGAAACAAGGATAGAGAAAGACTTAGATGAAAATTGTAATAATGATGACCAGGAAAGTGATTAATGAAATGTTTTAATTTAATTATGAAAATATTTGTTGATCCTATATTAAATGTATATTAACTTATTTATGGTAAATAGAAATGTTTTATAGTTGTTGTGTTTAATTAACTATATAAGGTGATAATGTGTAGGGGTGTTCCCGCATATAGTCGCCCGGATCGGATGGTGAGAGTTGTGGTATCGACACCGATGGTGGCGGTAGTCGTGGACGTAGGCATAGTTCTACTCGTTGTTCCAAGTCGCATAGCCTAGTCCCTCGACATTTGTTCATTCCCTTCCATAGCCTTGTGTCATACCCATCATTGTTTGACGTCTCGGCTCGAGCTCTATCGGTTTGGACCATGTGCTTTGAATCTTCATCATCATTAAGACCCACGGCTCAACATTATGACCTTCGTGTACTTGCACATAGCCTATTGCCGGACGTCCCTTCCGGTATGTCTTCCGCACTTAAGGTTCTATGTACGATCCTCGCATTTCATTTACTATCATAATGGCAAAGAGCATATATTATGCACTTTTTTATTATATTTTGTATGGTGTATTATTATATTAATGTGTTTATTTAATTGTCAATTGTCTTATTTAACAGATTGTATCCGGATGATGTGTGCTCAGTTGGATTTTTAAGAAATTTCGAGAGCAAGTTAACATATCCGAAATGATATGGAAGTTAATTATCGATCAAACTAAAGACTTCTATTGGGAGAAGTTAAGTAATATGTAGCTTAATTAATTATGTGATAGTATATTTCAATTAAGCTTAATGTTTATCTAAATGTACTAATGAATGTTTTTCATGCTCTTGCGAAGTACTTTTTATAGGACCAAGAGTTCGATTGAAGCTTTAAGAGAACATGGTAGATTTGGCTCGAAAGTGATATTTCGACTTTCTTTGTCATGTGGAAACACACCTTAAACTAATATATATATCTTACATGAGATATGGAATGCATGGTAACGAAATGGGCAAAACCCGAGTTTAGAGCTCGATCTAAGCGGGTAGTTCGAAACTACATAAGTGAGACGGATGGCCTCGGGACT